GCCCCGACATCGGACCGTAGTTCGGAACACATAACAAACACATGCAAGAATCACAAAGACATCAAGCATACAAACATTTCGCGGACTTGCCCCGGCATCGGACCGAAGCCCGGAATTAAATAATCTACATCGGGCTAACCCCGACATACGCTATCATACATAAACGGGTCGGCCATGGTTCCTTAGACCCATTCCTACTGGAAGAGGACTCACCTCGCACTGCTGAAGTCCCGCGAATAAATCTCGGGCTGCTGGCTGACAGATCCCCGAATCTATCAACATCAAAATAACACCCAATTAATAGATGGGTCCCAACACATACCCATAAGTCCATGCTTGGGGTAAAAGACTACTTCACCCCTAACTTAGCTTGATTCAAGCCCAAGGCCCAATCCAAAGGCCGAAAAGTCTAATAATGAAACAAGGCCCAACTATGGCCCAATTTTCAAAATTGGGCCCAAACCTCTACATGGTCTTGCCTTAAGGCCCAACCATTTGTTCTTGGTCCAACACTTGACATTCTGATGTCCCAATATCTCATAATCATCAAGGCCCAATTATGGCCCATCTATGGCCTAATTTTCCAAATTGGGCCCAAACCTTTCCAATGGGCATTATCCTTAAGCCCAATCCAAGTGTTCTAGTCCATTTACTTGTTAATAGTTGGCCCATCAAGAGTCCAGACATCTAGGCCCAACAAAAAGGCCCAACTCTAAACCCAACACAATTAGGGTTTTCACATGAAATGACGATTAGGGTTAAGTGTTTCCCACTTAACCCATTAAGGACTTAATCCATTAATCCATCAGTCTATTGGGTCAATCATGTAGTGTGGTCGGCTTAATCCATAATCCCAATCCGGTCATCTAAAAATGCGGGTCCCGACAATCCAAAACCCATATATCCAGAATTAGGGTTTTCTAAACCCTAATTAAGATTTCCAACCCAATCACAGCCCAATTAGGCCCAAAAGCTAAATCTTAGATCAATTAGGGTTTCATTAGGCCCATTAAGGTTTCATATGTCGGGCACTACCCACTACCACCTCGGGTAGTGGTGGTCAACGGCGGCTCACGGCGGCTCTCGGCGGCGGCCACCACCTCACGGTGGTGGTTATGGGTTTTCTTTTATTATACTAGTCACTAATTACAATTTCATAATACAATAACTCGAAATAATCCACACACAATAAGATAAACACACCCACATAGCCACCCTTGTGGTGGTCGGCGGTGGTAGATAGTGGCAGCCACCACCTCACAGTGGTGGTGGTGGCCGCCTTTTCTCGGATTTCCGGCCAAACAAAACGACCACACACACAAAATAACACACACTAAAATTACATTCTAGATAGTAGTGTAGAGCAGATATCAAATACCTCATATATATATATATATATATATATATATATATATATATATATATATATATATATATATATATATATATTATGAGCTGATCAAATTGCATTCTAGCTAGTGGTAGGCTAAGGAATCTTGCAGAAATAGTGTGGTAATGTTGCCTGATTTGTGATGCCTTAGCTAGGAGTTCATTCTTATGAGATTGAATCTGCCATTACTATTTTCTTATTGTATGCTACATAATTGTATATAGTTAGGATTTTATAGCCTTAGAATGCCTGATTTAGCCTTTCTTCATGTTCTTTATCTGGTTGTGGATTTGACGTAGGATCATATATTCGAATGTCCATTGAGTCTCGTATTTTGTAAAATTGGCATACACGAAGCAAATAGATGTCCTTCCATGCATTATAGGACTTGTAGAATCATGCATGAGAAAAGTAGCTTAGAATGTGTTGGGAGTTTAAGTTTATTGCATTGGGACTTTTCTAGCCATGCAAAGGCTTAAAGTCCATGACTTTATGGAATAAGACATCTTAGAACGGTCAGATATGTGGTTGGGTTGGTTATCTTGAGGGATTAAGACACAAAGTGGGTGAAAGTGGAAGAAGATGGAGTACGGCGTGCGTACTCCTGGCTACACCCCGCGTAGCCAGTTCCGACCCCGACCATATGTTGTTCGAGTTGTAGACCCGCATAAGATGAGGTATGCCCAACATACTCGTTGGGGAGTTGAATTTTGTTAACTTTTGACCTTTGGTCAAGTTTTAGGGTTTTGGACCATGGGAAGGACAAAATGGTCTTTTCACCCTTAAAGGACTTAGTTGTGGGATTGGACTAGCGAGTTGAGTTTTGGACCTTAATTATTAATTAGGATTAATTATTTCGTTGATTAGGCGGAGTCTAGTTCCGGTAGTTCGGGTGTGAGGTTACTTGTCGTCAGTATCAGGTGAGTCTCCTCACTCATTCTTACATGTGCGGTAGAATAGCTTTATCTGTGATGACTAGTTGGGTTTAACTGTTATTATTATGTTATGTTGTTATTATGTGACTGAGACTGCTGCTGTTATTATGTGACTGAGACTACTGATAGTCTCCAGAGTTGCTGATAACCCACAGGGCGTATTGTTAACCCACCGGGACTGCTGATAGTCTCTAGGGTTGCTGATAACTCATAGTTGTTTATTTATGATGTGATGTATGTGGTATGGTGGAGAACTCACTAAGCTTCGTGCTTATAGTTGTTGATTTCTATGTGGAAGGTACTTCTGAGGACCGCGGGAAGGCGAAGGTCTAATTGTACACACTCGCTGGGAATTTGCTAGTGGGACAGTTTGAGAACTCTGATATTTTGTGATAATGGTTGTTTGGATAATTATGTGTTTGAAAAACTTGGTTTGTGAAGCTTATTTTTGGTAAATTATAAATAAAAATTTTGGTCTAAAATTTGAGGTGTTACAAAACAGCTTATTTCCAAAGCAAATTGAACAGCTCGATTGATAAGTTTATCCGTAGTGTACTAGACACAAATTCGATGCACAATGGACACCGATCCAACCCGTTTTTCTCAACTTAAAGACTGATACTTCTCGATTGTTATGTTTATGGCTTTATAATATAGTTCATTATGATAAACATTTATGCTTTTGGATGTCAAACTCTTGGTTTTATATACATATTTATGTAGGAAAATAAAAAAAAATACATAAAAAATATACAAAACCGGGTTGAGCCGACATTCAAACCGGTTGAACTAGGAACCGATCACCAAACCGTTTCAACTAAAAAACCAAATTTTAAAACATTAATTTTAACGACATATCATATCTAAAGAACACACACAACGACCATGAATGGTTCGCTCTCGAAACATGTTCCAAAGAACTCGCTAGGAATCAACTCCAATAAACTCACAAAAAATCGACAAATATCATTTACGATTAAATAGTTCCATCTTACTAGGTATATGTTGTCATATGTTTTTCTAAAAAGAAAAATTGTATGTAACCTATAAATTTACCAATATAAAGTATAGTAATATAAGAAAAACATACAAAAACAAGATAATATTTGAAATTGAATTGAATCTTTTAATGAAACTTTAAGTAATAAATAGATAGATGTATATTAATATTAATCTTTGTATTTTTTTTTCTTTCAGTAGTAGTCATTTTAGGGAGAAAAAAAATCTACTGTTGATGCAATTTTAATTTTGATTACATGTTCGTCTAATAAATTTAATATATAAAATTATAATTTAATATATAACTGAACAATAATTTTAAGTTTAAGTTTTATTTTGTTTTTTTACCATATTTCTTTTTTTAGCATACAACTCGTTTCAAAAAGAAAAAATTATGTCAACACCCTCCAAAAAGTTAATGATAGTTTCGGTTTTCTATGGCCATGATCTTTATTAGAATAATGAAGGTAATAACAACATACTTTATTCATATGTCATTAAAGCCAATGTACTTTAATATAGTTATTGACTTGATATAAAATATTAGGCTTTATCTGTTGTAAATAAGAATAAACTATTCAATTGTTGTCAAATTACACATAAACAACTAAATAATAATATTCCACATATGTTTAATAAACATTAATACTCAAAATGTTTGAACACTAAACTAAAATGACTTCAAGCTTTGTTGTCAAACATTAATATTCTTAAAAATTGATGTCAAACACCATTGAGCATTAATACTAAAACACTTTGAACTTTTCTTTCAAAGATGGTTAGCATATTGGTGGCTTTGACTTTAGAAAGTTTGTTGGACAAACAATACACCTAATCCAAAACGTCAAATGTAAAATGAGTTAGGTTGTTGAATAGATTGTTGAATGGTCATTATGTAATCATCAAACAAATCATGGGCAACAAAATAAAAATCAAGCTAAAATGGTACTTATAAAACACTTTTTCAGTCATGTGAAGTGCATATTATATGCCCAAGATACCATACATAGAGAGATATAATATGAGATACTCGTAACTGAGAATTACCCCCATGCATTAAAAATAGTAACCTACCCCTTTCCATCTTTTGATGGAGCGGTTGTGACTTCCTCCTACAATCAAACCAACACAATCATACTACTCAAAAGCATGATTATATTTATTGGTGCTTGGATCCTTCTAATTCCAAGTTTTGTGTGTATCTCAAGCACTCAAACACTTATATTACTTCATGCATCTACCATTCAACAACCACCATCAAGAGAAGTACAAAACTATCATACTAAATGTTCGTAAGCCTGACATGTCAACATATAGTGGACAATAATGCCACAAATATTGTATGTACATAATATTGAAGAAAACTGTATATTAAAAAGAACGATACTATTACCTCCCATCGTATTTCTTCAAAATAGTATTTTTATTGCTCAAATATTAAAGCCATCCCTTTAAGAGTGCCATTGTCATTGATGATTTAGCAAGCACATAGATAGACTACCAAAAACACAAAAAAAATCTCATAGTAAGACTTTAATAATTTTATGATATAATCATAGATCAATTTTTTAGGGTTTAAATCCAACTTTCAATGTTCTCTTCATGAAAGAGGCATCAAGAGGATTAAAAATATAACTTCACATGGAGCATATTGACCAACTCTTCTGAATAATTTTTTATTCCCCCTCAAATCCCTTTTCCTCTATACCTTCATAGCTAGGTTCCAAACATCCAAACACCTCTTTCTGATAATCCACAAAAACCTACAAATCACAACATCAAACTTAAATGTTTCCACAACCCAAAAGTTTAAAGCACTAAAATCTTTAAAAATTGAGAGCTTATTAACATACCAAAAACATGATGGGGTGGGGTGTCGTTGTTGGGGAAATCAAAGGGTTTATATAGGAGAAATCAAAGGAATGAAATTTTACCTGATGTGATCAAAGGATTCATTTATTTTGCTTGAAGAGAGAGAGAGGGTTTAGACAAGATGTTCTTCCAAATCATCATCATGCAATTGGAAAAAAAAAGACACCCTCAAAATTAAAACAATAGAATTTAATACTTAATTACTTTGTCAAGGGTGTGAGAATTCTTCCAAACCTGACGCCCTCGACTGTTCAAGCAGTTTTTTCTCCAATTCCTACACACACACCATTAAATAGGGAGTTAAAATGTTATTGCGATAAATTTTTTTGAATTAGCTGAACATTTTGTTTTCTCGGTCATGAGAGAGAGGTGGTATCCATAGAAGTCCTGCAAGAGTAAGGTTAACAGCATTAGTTAGTTTTAAGATCTGTAAATCGATATATGGTGGATTTTATAGAGGAAAAGGGATTTGAATGAGTCTCTGATATTTTAAGCAAAAATTGAGGAGATTGGCGATTTGAATTAGTATGATCCGTTCTATTTTTGAATTAGTCTTGACTTATCTATTTTTGTTTACCAAATAAGATTCCAATGCATAAATTCATTATACAAATCGCATTATGACCTTGTACCTCTTAAAATTCATTGTACAAATCGAATTATCGAAACACCCATGATATATATCTATAGCCTTCATATGGCAAAAACTTCTTCAAAAATAAAATATAAGTCCTAAACAAGAATGCTATACAAGCATGTAGCCACAAAAGCTTATATCTTTTTCTTGTGCCTATATAACACCATACCACTGCAAAAAAAATTGTCAAAAGAGCTATATTAACATTCTAAAATGGAGAGGTCCCATGATCGAATCACACCTTCTTGAACCTTGGGGTGACCTGTTGTTAAAAAAACATTTGGAATCACACATTTACGTATACAGTAACCATCGCCTACATAGAATGTACAAATTGTTGAAAGCATCATCATATGGAGTTACCTACAGATGGCGCAACAGGCAATAATCTTCAAGCAATTCTCGCTCTGTAAGAGTATCATTTTCATTTTGTGGGGTCCATAACACCTCCACTGCCTGAAATTCATCAAATAGTTAGCACACCCAACAGGAAAAATTAATCATGATTTCTTGGTTAGAAAAAAAAAATGAGTGAGCATATGTCCCACCTTAACTCTCTTTGAAGAGATGATAGCCAGTTTTTGCAATGCTTTCTTTAATTGTGCCCTGCTATATATAAATGGCAGGTTTTCCACGCCTTCAGCAGCCACAATGATTGTAATCTGTACATTTAATGAGAACATGACTTAATTTGGTAAACGATATATCAATGTTTTTTTGTACTTTACACAGAAAGAATGACTTATAACATGGAAATAAATGAACTCTATTGGTGGAATTAAGCAAATGGGGAAAATCATGAAAATACAAAAAGTGGGAATAAACGTTCACCTTGGAAATAAATGGTATATAATGGACAAAAAGAGGGATATATGTGAACAATACTGACCACAATATATTCATTTCGGAAATCATTAGATCTTTGAGTTGTTGCACTTTGCTTTCTGATGTTGTTGACATTAACAAGAGTCTCTTCATCAAATTTACCCCTTTCTTCAATAGAAAGTTGATTAAATCGTTTCTCACCTTCCTCAAAACCCCTCTTCACATCTACCTAGCAAATTAATAAACCAAAAATCTAAACATTCAATGTTCCAAAACAATAATAGATATTAACAATGCACTTTCCTGTTGCATAATTGGTCTACAAATAGAGTTTTGCTACATGCAAACCAAGATGTTGTTTCTTATTTACTTAATGGGTAAGCTATATAACTTAATAGGAAAAGCCAAGGAAATGAGATAGTGTAGTGCATACAGAGGAATAACCATAGATGCAATAATTAGGATGTCGAAGTAGAGCTAGTGTTGTCTCTGCAACCAAAACCAAATCAGTTTAAACATCAAGATCATATGACTAGTAAAGGCTCAAATTAATAAACGTTTTGCCTTATTAGATAATAGATAATGACATATATCCAAACTAGTTGTATATATATCATGTACTTAAACATCATTCTTTACCTTGTAATACATATCTCAAGCCCTCAGGTTTGGATGTATCAGCTATCTCAGCAATCTGATTGAGATCCTTTTGCAGTGACTTACCCGTACCCAACAATCCAACCTTAAAAAGTACAAAGGATAATAGTTACTCATTAGAAATTGAGGTTATGATGTAGATAATTGATAGAAATAACATAATATATACCTGAAGCTTGAGAACACTTGTTTTCTCGATATATTGGGTAATACGCTTGAAGATATAAAACAGCACAAGAAGAAAAACAATCTTCACGATTAATTCTAGAAATCCTTCCTCCCGCTCAACTTCAACCGCTGACCCTACAAAGACCCAACCGCCCCCATCCGGCGTCGGTGGGCTATGACTTTCAGACGACGAAGAAGAAGAAGAAGAAGAAAATAAGTTCCCACCCATTCGCCCACCGGAAGCAGCCAACGCAACGCAACCATGGTTGTGATCGTACAGCAATATCAATCCCAATAAAAAATTATCACTTTTAAATAAAATATTTATGTTTAGATTTTATATTTATATTATCTGTTTATACATTTGACGTAAATTAATTAACAACGGTGTCTAGTTGAAGAAATGTGAATTAATTTATATACGATAATTTAATATTTTAAAATTGTCATTTTGCTTCAAATTAAATTTCTTAATAATCTTCCTTAGAGCATCTTCAATGGTTAAACTATGATATGGCTTAAAGTTATTGCCACCTCATCATACTATTAATTTTGACCTATAAATAAATGGTATCTTCCATTCTTAAGCTCATCTATCTAGAATGTTTTATAAGACCTCTGATTTAATTGATCATTTTTTCTAAGAACAAATCATATTTTAATATGAAAATATAAAATACAACTGCATCATGTTTTTATTATATACATAAAATATGAAAATTTGTTATGTATTAGTTGTAAAAATAAAATAAAAACATTTAAAGTATTATATAATAGTTATAAAATGAAATACGTTTAAAGTAGAAAGGGGTTAAGTGTACAAATATGATAGTACATTGACCACTCAATATATATTGAGTGGTAAAAAAAAAGTTGTTTACTTCAATGGTGTTGAGTGGTTGATATAAAAATGCTAATAGTAATAAGCTTTAAAAAATCTCCCATTTGAGATGCTCTTAATTCAAGGCTTCAAACTTTTGACACGTATTAATGATTTATTTATGTATAATTGATTTATATAAAAAACTTTATAACTTATACCTCCTAAAATCTAATATATAACTAATATGTTTTATAATATAATATAAGATATAAGCTATAAGATATTATTTGAAAAACGGAATTAAAGAAAATGCTAATAATAAATCGGATTTCATTCTCTAAAACCAAAAAAAATAGACCTCGATATGTCTAGTAAATTTGGAAACATAAAAATGACAATACATACTTAACTAGTAGTAAGACTCATGTGTTACATGAGTTAATTTAAAAAAAAAAGTTAAATATAAAGGTCGAGAACTTTGAATTTATAAGAAAAATAAGAAAAATAATGAATTATTAAAATTGAAATGTTTTTTTTTATCTTTAAACTTAAACAAATAATTTAAATAAATAAACAAAAGAAACTAATGAGCTTTAATTTGTGAATTTTAAAATTAGAAGGAATGTCCATTAATAAAATTGATATTCATTTATTACTATATTTATTGTAATTATTACATTAAAAAGTTATATGAAATATAATAAAATAAGAAAACCCATAAAATGACATGTGGAAAAAATATTAATTCAAAATAACCGTAAAATGACATTTGGCAAATTGAATGAGAAAATGATATGTGGCAAAAAATCTTTATTTATTAGAGTAGATTTTTAGAAGAAAACAATTAACTGATTTTCATGATCCTAAGATAATTTGTTTCTTTATTTTCAATATGTTTAAATGCATTACTTGTTAACTTAAACTTTTTGTTCTAGTCAACTTAATTAAATAAAATAAATAAATAAATAAATCAATCAATTTGGCCTCAAATTAATTAATTTTTTTTCTTTGCAATATCAATGGCTAGCAATATAGCACATATGTATCTATTTTTCCCCTGTAAATTGTTTTTCGTAATTTAATTAAACATATATTATTCCATACCATATGTATGATCATTAATGCAAATACGATATTTACCTCAAATCCCCATGAATTTAGACGAAAATCATGTAAATTTCCATCAACTAATTTATGATGATTAGGTTTTCTTATTGTTTCGAATAAAATAAAAAGATGAAGATGTTTCTTTTTACCAACGTAGCTTATTTTTGGGATTGCTTAATTGAATTGACAAATTTTGGATATCCAAAATGATAATTAGATATTTGAAATTCCAAATATCTTAGTATTGAACACCCTAACTATTTAATTGTTGGTTGCAAATGATGTGCCACTAATTTCATTAGATTAATCACATCACTTTCAATATTTGACATTTACTTTTCTATTAACTTATATGTTGTTAGCTCACATGTTTATGGTCCTTTTAGGCTTTAGTCCATTAAGGTTTGATCTTAGTTAGTATTTATTCTCTTCTTTTTTCTTTGTAGTCTTTTATGTTTTTCATTTAAAACCTTGTAATTTTTCTCTTTCAATGATCATATGACAATATTATCATTTTCAATGCCATGTATATATAATATTATTATATTTTTTAATTTTATAATCAAAGTATAATTAATTATATTATTATATTATGTTGTTTATTAATTTATTATTAACGAAATCTTTTAAATGATTTAATAAAAATATTGCAAATTATATTCGGATCGAGATTATATGGGAATTGGAAATATGGTTTAGGATTTATGTGATTTCCTTCTATGAGAAAAAATCGACTGGTGTATTTTAATGATATTTTATATTGAGATGTATATTACAAAAAAAAAATTGTCGTTAAACTATGATTACAATGTAATTAGTTTCGAAATTATCATTTAGGGTATATGTTCAATGGAAAATGACATGTATTATTAATTTTGTGTGGATTCAAACATCCGTAAATTTCATATTTCTATAGACCTATCTGCTTATGGTACCTCTCGGAGGCAATTTATCACTTGCGTTGGCAAAAAGTACGTCTTTAGATTATTTAAATTTAGAATTAAATTTATATTGATTTTTTATGTTATATTTATACTTTTTTTTGGAAACGGCAAACGAATTAAATGAAATCCAACTCATAATATTTCAACGAGCACCCGAGGTTCGAGCTCCTTTACAGGTCAAACCTAGCCCCCATGGGTTTGCGGAGCACCAGACTACTTCAATATTGTAGGTTTGGAAGATTTATTTTGTGGTGTGGGAGACTAAGCGGCTAATAGATCAATATATTAATTGTCACCGGATAAGTTTCAAAGAAATCCCCAAAGAAGCAACCCAACCGATTTGAGGCAAATTCAAGGTATTATATTAAGTCCTAAGTTTTCAATTTTAACAAGGATTAATTATTTTAATATCTTATCATCATTCATTTTAAAATTTACATTTTTAACTTATAGTTTTTTATTTTTTACAGACATTTTTTATTAGGATTCAACACATGAAGAGAAAATCAATAAAAACTTTAAGTTTGGCATTCAAGAACAATGCATAGACATCATGAGTGAGTATAGGAAACGATCAACAAAGATGTTCATATCTGTCGGAAATGATATCTCATAGGATGGGAATGACTTTGATATCATATGGAATTTCGTACCCCGTGGGATACAATCTCAGTGGCGGGAAGATTTGTGTAGGGTAAGCAAGTTAATACATTTTTATTGTTTATTTCCTTTTATGTTATTATACATATATTACTCTTTACAGGAATGGAACACGGATGTGTGGCTGAAAAGGTCTGCAAGCGGGAAAAGTAACCACAATACCACCGATAGTGGTGAGAACATATCGAGGCATAATGGGACAGTATTGGTCATGATGAGCACCAAAGTAGACTAGTAAATATTCATATCATACAAATTTTAATAATATGTTTTTAGTTTAACAGAAATTACATCATTTATACTTGTAGACAACAAAGTTGGGACGATCACCCTCGTTTATGGAGTTGTTCTTATATACTTATCTAGATAAAGCTTCAAAAAGGAAATGTTTTGTTGAAGATGACGAGGGAAAGCAGTTTTGTACTGAGAGAGCAAGGGAAACATATTTAAGATTTCTTTATCATTTTTAGATTATTTTTTTGTCCCAGCTTTTAGTAAATTAAATAACAATTGTGTTGTTTTATTTTCTTGTAGGAGGCATACTCTCGAGTCTTGCTTGAGAAGTATGAGGATTATTTGCATGATCACCCGATCGATGATGTTGAACTATGGGCGAAAACCCAAAGGGAAATACATGGAGCATCGATGAGCAGTTATATCTATTTGATTGGATCCTAAAATTTAGACTTTGTGGTCATAGGGAAATCGTTTGATGTTGTGGGGTGTTCGTTGTCCTCTAGTGGGTCTCAACATGAGGTATATATATATATATATATATATATATATATATATATATAGATATATATATAATATATATATATAGATATATATATATATATATATATATATATATATACCATGGTTGCAGAAATCGGGATTAATCGGCGATTAATCGTTTGGCGTTCTCCAACCGTCGAGGATTAGGGTATTAATCGGAAATTTATGAGTAATCGGGTTTGGCGGGATTAATCGGTCAACAAAAATCAAAAAATTCGAAAAAAGTCAAAAAAAAGTCAATAAAATTTTAAAAATAAATTCAAAAAATCAACTTTTTTTTTACTCGAAAATTTTCAAATTTTCAAATATTATACCAAAATGTTCATATTTTCGTATTTACAAATTTTCAAATTACAAATTTTCTTATTTTATAATTTTGAAGTACTTGTTTTTCTTAAAATATATTAATATTTGATTAATTTTAATATTTTTATAATAATATATGGTCTCCGATTAATCCTCGATTAATCCCTTAACACCAATCGAAAATAGTCACTAATATATTTATTCCGAAACAACCATGAAACTTTGTGAGCCATGAAAATACATTACTATAATGAAATACTTTGTGAGCCATGAAAATAGTCACTAATATATTTATTCCGAAACAACCATGAAACTTACACAAAATGTTTCATGAAAACAAACCCTAAAATAGTCCACAATAAGCCAAGAAACTTACAGAAAGTGTTATGTTGCATTTATGAATGAAAATGAAGTATGTTGTTTTTATGAATGAAATATGGTGCTATTATGAAGTATGTTGCTATTATGAATAAAAACAATCCTTGAATAAATAATTGTTAATATTGTTGGATTAAAAATAAAGTGTGTTGCTCTTATGGATAAAAATAAGTAAGAAGACTTATATTGGTAGAAAAGTAAAGTATATTGTTATGATGGAATAGTTTTTTTTTT